GTGGTTGTTTAAGAGGCTAGAGTGGATGAATGATATTCCTGATCAGCAAGGAAGAGGTGCTAGCGGTGGCAATTATGGTGGTATTTTACGATGCAGTTACAAGAGAGAGAGAGTTACGCGGTGAACAAACTTCACAGAAAAGTTGCACTAAAATGTACGCATAGACATTCCATAGGTTTTAGAAATTTTATGTAGTCAATGTTTATAAAGTTATTGGGAGAGCGAAAAGAGCATGATGTAGACTAACAGACACGGCCGCATATGAATGAAAGAACACTTTGCTGAATATTGCAATTATGTTCAAATGCCAATTTTAAACGTCATGGAATGATATTTCTTCTTTTCACTGCGTGATGGCGTAATCATGACATCTCAAGGCTGTGATTATACAATGTTACACTTATAACAGAGACACTTATTACTCCGTTTGCGGCAGAAACCTGTTGACTATAATCTGCGAACATGTTATGATCGCATACTTTCCTATCACAGACACCTCAAGTCGTACCTACATCGCATCTTTTCAAGCAGGTAGGGCGTGCTTTGACGAAACATGTATACATAGATAGATCAAATATGTACATAGAAGTGCAAATAAAGTAAAGCTGCAGCTACCCATTACCGTTAGATTTGAATTTCCTGTTAGGTATACGCATACGCGCTAGTGTTATTCGGGCAGACTGAGTCGCGTGGTGGCGGCGGGGGATCACGGCAAGTGTAGCGAGATTACATAGCGCCAGGTGATCGTAGCCGTATCAGGTTAGCCCGCATGCATGCCTGCGTTATGTAGGTACCTTATGAATATGTAGCGTGGATTACTACGGGCCTGTGTTGTAATTTATGGCAGGGAATTAGTATATGTGCAGCAATCTCGACCGGCCTTGGTGTGTCGCACGCGCAGGCAGATGTGCGCACCAACAGCTGTGCGCCGGCGCCCCCGCCAACCCTTTCAGGACGGCACACGCGGCAATTAGTAAAGCTTTATGGCTGTCCATTTCGAGCGTGGAAATTACTATACGTTGCGCCGGCTATTCTCGGACACGACACATCTGGGGGTCAAGACAATGGCGATCCGGCGAGGGGGTAATGTACGGGTCTTACCCGCCGTGTGACGGCACGCGAACCGCGCCTATATTTAGGTGCGCGGTTACCGCGATCAGCGGTTCGATTACCGCACGCTTTGTTCTTTGCTGAGGCAGACGCGTCCTTTGTTGCGTGCTGAACTTTTCCCGACGGTGGGGTAGCCGTGCTTTGAGACGTGCCACCCCTTTGTTTGCGGTCTAGGCAGTTTCGCCCGTGGTCCGGGCGCCCGTCGTGACCCCGTGATTGTTCATAGCTATCTGCACTCGGCGATGTACAAAAGCACAACCTCTGCGCTAGGTGTTTTGCTGGGTCGGTGCTGGCGATGCGATGGGGACGCTGGCATGCAGCAGACAATCAGCGGCGCAGCACACCTGCCTACAAAATCTCGCGATTGCTTATGATTATGATCGTCGGCAGATAAGTGGTGCGAGCTGGATGCTACAGTGGCATCTTTGTTGCGAAGATGCCGTAAAAAGATTGCCGGAGAGATGCCGCAGACGTGTTATTAGATGGGCCGCTACGGCGCGCTGTGTCAGCTGCTCTCAGAGTTTCGTTGGCAGGCTGCACCCCCCTCACACACACACATCGTGACTGCAGCTACCGCTCGCTCGATCAGGGCAATGAATAGCAAAAACACGGCATCGCAAAATTACATGCATTGTGAATAATACTGATTACTGCAGCGACTATAGAATGTGACTTCATTTCATAGACGGTGAGCAATTTCTATATCGACAACAATGCTCGTTTTAAAATCGCGACAAGCTGGCTTGCGTGTTATATAAACGCGCATAAATAGTTTTGTTCCCAGCGGTAAAAATGCGCAACAATAAAAGCGTTCTCGCAAACACCTGTTTCCATATAACAACTCACTCCATCAAAGTTTCCTTAAAAACTCGCTCAGCATTCAGATCTGATTGCGACCAACGCTGAAAACTAGCGAAAAAAGATAAGCCTGTATGTCAGAAGAAACTGTTAGGCCAAGAGTCGCTCTTTATAATATAATATATATATATAGTATATATAATATATAATATATAACATTCGTCCGACCTTGTTTAGACTATTTGGAATATCTCTTAGGCCTTTATTCATTAGCGTATACGCACAGGTCGGGTATGCGCACGTTCTACTCTTGTTTCATCTCGCCCCTCTTTCTGTGTGATCATGTATAGAGTCAGGAAAAAAGACAACAGTTGTCACGTGATCAGGAGCTCAACAGTAGCGCGTAGTCGTTGTAATTAATATTCCAGACAGCGGTTTTCACCTATCAGCATACAGCTGACAGCGTAACGTCATGCGTACGCGCTCACTGAGCCACACGACGGCCATATAAATACTCACGACATCGAAATATCTGCGCAAAGCGCGCGATAGTTGGCTATAGCAAGTCTCACGTAATCTGATCGTATCTCGTCTGTGAGTAAGTGGGAACGAGGCGATAGCGACCCTTGTGGCATTGGCTTGGCTCTGTGGCGTGATCAAGTGTTCCGTACTCGATCATAAAAGTAAATATGGCTGATGCATGCGTTTGTTCAACGGTCTAATACTGCTACTGAATAACTTGAATAGGTTTATACGAGACTAACATTGTTCTTTGTCTAACACGTTAGTATAATCAACAGTCGCGAATGTTAACGATCTAAACAGCCGATATATATATATATTGGCATGTTAGCAATGTTTTTCTATTGGCTGATTAAGTGGCCGAGTGCATTTGTGCAGTGGGATTGTCGTCAGAGCGTATATAGGCGATCGGTCACATATGGTCGAAAATTGTGTCGCCCCGGCAGTTAGGGCGCGCCGTACCCACGTCGTCCACAACGTGATAATTACTGTTGAAACTCGGGTGCGCTTGGAGAGACATGTGAACGAGAGCTCCTCGGGGCGTAGCACAGAAGCGTGGCCACGTTCTATATCGGGCCACGGCGCTCGCCTTGTCTCGCACTAACAGGTCCCACCGGGGGCATTGTCTTTCGGACCCTCCCACGAATGCACACTGAGGCATGGACCCCATCATCACGGTTCATTCAAGCAGTACCTGAGTGACGCCAAACCCGTTGTTTTCGTTCAGAAATAGAACTGCAGCAGCAGTCGCCGATTCTATGGCAACCATGACCATGCCGCCTAGATGTGGTTAATGAACGTGTCATGCCGAGCCCGACCTCACGTGAAAGGATCCATTATGCAAATGCTGAATGGCGGGACCCCCGTATAAAATGCGAGCGCAGCGGCGCGTTCAGGCTCATTTGACGCCTAGCCCCGCTGTCATGAACAACGTGGGAGCATCTGCTCATATAACCGGATACTAGGCGCCGTGTACCATGCAATAATCGCGCGCATATCAAGGTACTTGCTCAGTGACAACTCCGCGTTCGCTACTGGATTAGTTTGTGCTGCGGAAGGTCCGCTTGTATACCAATCACATGTTTAGAATTGCCACTGCTGTTTTTTTTTGTCCCCGCACGATTGACAATTGGAACTCGGAGCAACCGCTACCAGTGTGACTCGATTGCGTGATTATTTGCTCCTCTGAGGACCCAAGCGGGAGCACACGTGATTATACGTGGCTTGCTCTCCACTCACGTTTGTACTAAAATTCACATCGGTCATACGGGGACTTTTAGTGGCGATAGTATAGGCAAGCAGTAACCGCGCCGTCTCACAACTAACCTTTTGTGTACGGTTGCAGGCAGATAATTTGTCAATCATCTCAGCGGAGGCGGAGCGTAGAGCGAGACACGCCCCCCGCTTCGCGCACCGGCAGGCAACGCCGCGACTCTGCACTCATTACAAGCGGTTGCAGTGAGCGAACGATAACATCCAACATGTGCTCGCTTCGGAAACGTGGATTACCTTGGATACATATCACTCTGTTAGCCATCACATTCACACAAGTAAGTATCATCTATACTACATATCTGCCTACGAGCGATAGCTTTCTACGTAACGTGCGTATATCAAAGCTTGTGATACGTTCACAGCGGTAAACCTGCGGAACTGTGTTAACTTATTCGAGGTGACGAATAGCGTATTCATGCGCTAGGCGTGTTGTACGCCGGACACGGCAATTCTGACAAAGCAGTAGCTTCGTATTATTCGATTGATTAGAAAGCTATTCTTATTATATACGCGCACCATAAAAGAGTTTTAGGGACATATATAGCCAAAGCTTACGGTTACGCGCGTGTACGTGCACGTTCGTGCGCGCGCGCTTGTGTGTGTGTGTGTGTGTGTGTGTGTGTGTGTGTGTGTGTGTGTGTGTGTGTGTGTGTGTGTGCTTGTGTATGTGAATCATTTCCAACATCGTTCTTTCGTTGTTTTCACCGTGTAGGTATGCTGCTCCGGCGTCTTCGAACTTCAGTTGATATCGTTTCGCAATCAACTAGGACTGGACAACGAAGGAGAGTGTTGTGGTGTGAGAACAAGTAGCGGCTCATGTGCCGGGTCGTGTATGACCTTTTTCAACGTGTGTTTGAGTCACTACGAAAAGAAACTCAGCGCTGATCCACAGCCAGTGTCGTGTACATTCGGACAAAGTGAAACATCAGTGCTTCGACGCAACTCGTTCAATTTAACCTCCCGGGATACATTGGGCAGCAGTTTCGTTAATCCTATACGCTTGGAATTCCCATACTCGTGGCTGGTAAGTGATTGTCTGCTCGCATAAGCTTATTCCTGCGCCGTAACGCAGATACCGATTGTTGTCGGAATTCTATAAAATCTCTGCATGTAAATCGTAGCGATTCTACAGGTGAAGTGTCAATATCTTGATTGATATCTAAGTTGATTGTAGGGTTTATTTCTTATATTAATATCTGACAGACAAACGTAAATGCTCTTTTGTATATCGATGCAGTAATGTAATGTACGGACACACTCGGCCCCATCGTGTAGATATTCGATGTCATCACGTTTTCGCCTTTACCACACACGTGGTGACAGACACCTCCATCCCTCGCCACAGATCGCGCAAGATAGGAGCACGTGTAGTTAGCCACCCAACTACTTCACCCGACCCTACCCTCACTGAACCTAATTCAGAACAATGTGGCTACTGGCGGTCTCGCACACCGGATAGCGCCCTGCTCCCGCCGGAGAGCAGGCTAGCAGCGAAGTCGTCCTCCTGCCTTTATAGCCCCATAATCCGGCTGCCTGGTTAATAACATACGGTGCTGCTGCTGGGCCGAGGGAGTTGGACACATGTTGCATGTGGCACCGGTGGCCACGCTACCAGCGGATGTCTGTGTAATCACAAACACGAGTGGCCTAAGCGTATAGGATGTCCCCGCGACTCGGCGAGCGTCTGCGACTTTTTTGCTCGCGTCCTCCCACGCAAATACGATCGTCTTACCTATCGGATTATTTAGCTGCAAGAACTGACGCGCGTGTTTCGACTTGTCATAATATGGTACAGAATGTGTGACCTGTTCGTGATCCATGCAACAACTGATTTATCGTAGTGGATTGAGAAATCGGAGATTTGCGTACAATAACATGCCACGTTCGAGTTATGCTTCACACTGGAAATTCTCCTAGAAGTAGTCCTTGGATATAGCTATTCGTAATGAAGAAGCTATAGTAGTTTCTTATCACTCAGTTCTGGTTTCACCTCATGAAACAGATTGTTGCATGTATAAACGCCTTTAAACGTTATCGCTATAATATATATTTATATCGCTGTGTAGGATATAAAAAAAAAATCGTTTCGTCGGTAAATCGTTTATAGTTTTGCATCGTAACTATGTTTTAACGTGATCGTTCTTTTTTCCACGCAGGGTGATTTTTCGCTGATCATAGAGGCCTGGCACCAACAGAGTGCAAAGAAAGGTATGTATAGTGCTCGTCTCTGTGATAAAAAAAGATGTGTTTAAGATCGGGATCGTTACCATGGTGTTGTCATCGTCGTCTCTACTATATCTGTAGGGTATTGTCACAAACATGTCGGCTCCAACCACGAGCTCCAACTTAGCAGTCGTAAATCGCTCAAGTTGCATTAATGTTAGGGTTTACAAGCCGGCCAGCATGCTGTCGTGACTCCGTCAATGGCCACGGAACACATGGTCCGTTGCTATTTTCGGGACCCTATGAAGTATTTATGCAACCGAACAATAGGGGCGAATAGACGGTTTTTGTAAAAAGCGCGTCAAAACACATCGGCGAGTGGAACTTTGAGAATCAAAGCACAGAAATTCAGTGTTTTGTTGAGAGGCTCCTCGTGCGCCATGAAAGAACACCGACATAGCGAACGCAGTTTTGAGAGTGATATAGGCAAACGTGAACTCGCATTAAATTTAGCTGAAGATAAACGCAACCAGGTACATAAACACATATATAAACAGGTTAACATGCTAGCGGAAATAGCTTGTTTAGGCCGGTTCAACGCAGCTGCCTTTGTGATTTGGTACAAAACGTGCTCCACTGAATAATACCATAGCGAGGATACCTCGTGAATTGCACACGTATGAGATGCCGGTGCCACCAGCAGTATGTTCACTCCATAATGGCCTATTCCCGTTTACTGTAGAATATAAATCTTTCTCACCACCACTTGCAAAATCCGCCTTTCCTGAGAGTAAAGAAGCAGAGTGCAGCTTTTCACATTTTTTTTACCTAGCTAACCTGCAGACATAGAATGAGTAACAATGCATATTCGTTAATCAAGTGCAATTCCGCCTATTTTTTATTGTTATTACCCATTTTGTGTTGCTTATTTTGTTCTTTCTCAATATATATATATATATATATGCGCACACGCCCCCATGCATACACATATATCCACACGCATGTGCAATGACAATATATACGACATACAGAACATCAGTATTGCGCCGTGTATACATTAGTAATAGCGTTCGGCGGATAACAGGGTCAGAATTACGATGGCGGCGTGCGAATCACAAGCGAAACCTGAAGGATCAAGGTTGTCATCGACCTCGGTAATGGAACGTGACACTGTTGTAGCGATAACTTTGGCCACAATGAACAAAGAGCGCTCTTGTTTAACGAAAACTAGCCTATACAGCTACAAGGCGTACTGTATAAAGCAATAGCGGAATAGTATAGTAACGGTGTTATAGTCGAAATAAGTCATTAATACATGTAGCGTAAATCTACTGTACCGCGTAACACTGCTCATCCTGGGGTACCGATATCAAGTAAAAGATCGTAATTAGCAAGCAGTTTTGAAAATAAATATCTTAAGATATTCGTCCCGTCTGTGTGCGGATGCACTGTGCACATTCGTCATAGCCGCACAATGACGCGACAGTACGAGATACGGGTTAGCGAGGGCGCCAGGTGTAAATAGCAGTAGCGTGAGACAGACGCAGGTGTGCACCGCCGTAAACATTAACGTTCAGGGACAAAGTTCTCTTACTGTTCTGCTAAATTCTTGATGACTCCTAATATATGGTATCACGAAGAGTCACGCGAACCGTTGGTCAACCCGTGTTATTGTTTGATTTAACTTAACTCGAACTACATGCCATGAGTCGCGTTCGGCGTCTCTCGTTCATGTTGCTTTGTGCTTATCTGCTTATCATGTGCTTTGAGTATTTGAATGCTTAAGGCATCTTGCTTGATTCCCGGGCCGTCGTGCTATCTGATAGGCTTTTATTATCTGGAGACACGCGCGCACAAGATCATAGCGGAGAGTATCGGACTGCCCTCATATCCGCCACCGCCAATATCACATATCCTCCGCGCGATGCGATGATGTTTAGAGTTGGTAGCCATGGCGCGCGCGTGTTATCGGCTGCTGGCGCGCGCGTAACGCGCTGCTCGCGTACGATGCCAACTGACGTGGCGTGCTGGCTGACACGCGTGGCCGCGTCCGCCCGCCGAGACGCGGCTGCCAACACCGCGTTTTTTCTACACCCCCTCCCCCTCATACGTTGTCGCCACCTCCGCTCTCTCTCCCTCTCTCTCTCTCGGCTCTCTTTCAAGCAGGAGTGCCATGTTGTTTCGCCGAGCGTCTTAGATGGCCGTGTTTGTTTGTAGGGTTGCGGCAAAAAGTGTCGGCGGCGGCGGCGGAGTCCCGCGGGGGACAGGTGCGCAGCTCGGCGCGAGGCCGACTTCCGTTCACTAAATCACGCCAGCAGCTATGTCCATTGTGCGGACAAAGCTTACGGCCCGAGCACGCAGCGGCACACATCCTGTGCCTGACGCACTTTTATCTGTCAGCGCGCGGTAGAAACGCATAATAACATCGGTGGCCTTTTCGTTCCAGACGACCGGCGACTTATCCTGCGGCTAGCGACGGCGCGCACAGCGCAGGTGGGACAGACGTGGTTCGAAGACAGACACCACAACCGCTACGGCGTCGAGCTTCAGTACGGCTACCGGGTACGATGCGCCGAGAACTACTACGGCGACGTCTGTCTAAAGACGTGCAACCCTCGCGATGACCCCTACGGGCACTGGAAATGCGGTGCCAACGGCGAAAAGGTCTGCTTAGAGGGCTGGTCCGGCCAGTACTGCACTGAAGGTAACTAAGACCATCTGAATACACTCTTCATCTTCTTCTCTTCCGTATGTCAACATCTTGATGGGGTCATGCTGGCGATATGCGCGACCTATGTTATTGATGTTGCGATTATCAGAAGTAGTTTGTGCATATGCGTAAAAATACGCTAGGTATAGGTGAGATGATTGGTTTAACCAGGTGGCTAATACGTATTTTATGATACGTATAATATATATATATATATATAGCGGTGGTCGCAGCCTACATATCATCATGTTGTCATCATCACGTATTACTGGGACGTTGGCGTTGTTGTCGACACAACGCTTCGTAATCAGTCACACTCTGCCTACGGCCTTATCATTTATTCAACAGAATGACAACACGGTATCACATTACGGCAACCGCATCTACTCCTATGTATCGCCTGCGCGGTTCTCTTGATCATTGATTACACAGTAATTGAACACTGTCTTGCTGCAACGCTATTATCGCATATATATGTGTACATATTATGAACATACATGCTCATGTACACGTATGAATTCATGCGTGAATTATGCGTATATACGCGTTTATATAAAAACTAACAACCTTTCAAGCTTGTATTAAACCTGAGTCGTTCAGACGTGGATAGAAGCCTTTGTTCGAATTTGTTCGAAAATCCTATATCGGTGAATCGGCATGGGATGGTTATGTTACGTGTTGTTACGCACGCGGATATCTTCCCGTAGCGCTCATGCATGCGCGCGCAGACGAGAGTGCATTTCTATGATCATTACATCGGAATTCTCCGCTTCGCGCGCAGCGACCGGAATCATGGTTGGCGCGAAGTAGAGTTATTCTAGTAAAATCAATAGAGTAGCGTAAACTGCGCTCGTATCCCGTGTGAGTACACGTAGTCAGTGGGCTCCCCCGCGCGCGCACGTAGTAGTAGTAGTACTACTCGTCGAATAATCGATCGAGCGGCTACTACTACTCACTCGCAGCGAGTGCAGCCACGCCACTACTGCAGCGGATTGGTGCTCGGATTGCGCGTGCCACGTAAGCGGCCTACCGCTGCGCCTTACAGGAAATCTCTCACCGGCTCCTTGCGTACCCAGCCGGCGCGTCGAATTCCGATAATTCTCTGTCAGAAATGCCTTCTCGAGTAATCATCGGGAGTGGCATAATGGTCGGTGATGGCATGCTATAGGCGATATCTAATCTCGTCGAGTCGAGACGAGGGCAGCCCCCCTTAGCGCGCACCGCGTGTCCAGTGGCTTAATTTAGCACCGAAAATACCGGGTGAAACAATCGCGACCGCACTCTGATCTCATTAACGCGGCCGAGAAAGTCAAAAGAAGTGCAGAAATAGCCGCGGCGGCCTCTCCGGTCGCGTGCGCGCGTATCGGGTGTGAACCCTTTGTGGGGCGACTAAGACAAAGCCCGGGAACAGCGGCCACGCGCACTGCTCATTGTCTATGTGGCTTTAAAAACCCGCGCGCGCGCAGCTGGCAGGCCGAGTGGGCCGTGGCGGGAACAATAGCGGCAGCTGGCGGGTCGGCAAAACAGCCATCTCTCGCCGAAGCAGCTGCCGCGGCGGCATTCTCTCACATGAAGAAGGCGAAATGAAGCGGGTTTTGTGCGCGCGCCATTCCTCGCCGTAACCCGTCCCTGGAACCGCGCTGCGCGCTGACCATTTTTTCTATTCTAATCATTGATAATAGCTGACTGAAAAAATGCAGCGCAACACCTTTAGCTATCGGGAGGGAGTGCGCGTAGAATGGTGACAAAATACCCCCCAAAATATAGCCGTGAGCTAACTAAACTGTGGTCATTTTCTATCAATGCGGCTCGCGGTCCTTGACACCACGGCAATCTATACAGCGTAGGAAAGCCAGCGTCGATTTTCATGACTTTTGTTATGTGAAGGGTTGGCAGCCTAACACACTATTTAGTTATTCATTTTCTGTCGCCCGCGAGCGATTTCCAGTGTTTGTATTATTCCGTCCTCTCTGTAGCGACTATTCGTGTGTGTGGTTTTAACGTTTTATTGCACCAATAAACATCCCCTGAATGTCAGGTAACCTGTATTTCACTGCAAAATGCTATCTGCGTGTTTCAACATATCGGCTGAAAATGTCTGAAAACCGTACATGTTGAAAGTCTAAACGAAACTTTACCAGTTCCACGTGAATGTCATTGTGCGGAATATATTTCTAATGTATTCCGTTGCATTTTTTCGTTGCAGCCGTCTGCCTGCCGGGCTGTCACGAGAAGCACGGCTACTGCGAAGTACCTGGAGAATGCAAGTAAGTTGTTAAATCTTACGATTTCGCACGTCAATAGTGACCATGATAAATCTATCTGTATACAGTGTGTTCTCGCAATTATAGTAATTGCGTTACTGGTGTCCGCCTGTCCTTGTTTGGCGTAGCAGATGTCAAGCACTTGGTAGCATCGCGCAATAATCGCTATTTTGTCTCTAACGCTCGTATACTGATGGGAAAACCATTAAAGTTTCATACCTCTGGATCAATGGTTATGGAGACGATCAGCTGTCACATTCCAATCGAGGTGCGTGCGCGGACACACACATACCGAGAGAGAGAGGGGGGTAGAGAGAGAGAGGGGGGCAGAGAGAGAGACATGCAGGCAGACAGACGCACGCACGCCCGCCCGCCCGCACGCACGCACGCACACAAACACACCACACGCAAACGCGCGCGCGCGGCGAAATGCCACCCACACGCTAACAAGTTAGCCGGTTCTATCTGTCATGTATCTCGTGTTATGAATCCGGTTTTGTTAACGCGGATAAAGATCGCCAGAAATATTTCCATGTCGTTGTCGAGACGACCCCGGCGCGCGTGAGTGTGATAACAAGGGCCGCGGCGACAGCGGGCCGGCAGACGGTCGAAATATCTACAGACGCACTAGGTGCACGGCCCGTATGCGGCCGTCCCCTACGTGCGCATGCGCACATGACCGCACAGGCGACGACAACCATTACCAGCTTTCGTCGTAAACCTTTGTGTTTGCACATCAATTTTAAAAGTAACTCGATTCGCACGATTGTCGGGAGGCTAGAAATTACAGCTATCCTATGTACGACCCACAGGCGGCAACGACCGAGAAAACCAGTCTTGAGTAGTTGTCGAACGCGACGAACGAAGACATTGGCATGAAGGGCAGGCCTGATTGCGGCGTCATAAAACCTCGCGAGCGGAGTGTTTCCCACGAAACGACAACGGCGAATAGCAGACGAGATAATGACGTTTAATTCCGTGTAGACTCAGAGACACAAACTCGTGCTGCATGAAATAATTGTGCCGTGAAATCGCTAGACATGTTAGCCGGTAGATGGTTGGTGTGAGTGTGTGGGGCGGTCGAGAGGGGTACAGGAGGAGGTGGTGGTAGTGGTAAGAATTACAGGGCGCTATCGCTGGTGCATCACACGCTGTAACAGCGAGGCGGATGTAATGGAATTCCGCTGTAACTGCCTTATCCCCCCTCGCTGCCTGTTGATAGCATGTGAAACATGCCCGCCCTTGGCTAGAAACGGGCGTGCATGTACGACACGCAGAAGGCGTGTTTATGCTACAAACATCATCATGCTTGTCGTGCTCGCGTGCGTCAACCCCTATTAGTATGCATGAGGTTTTTTAAACGATTGAGTAGAAGTGAAAGGACCGTCGTTAGAATAATCTTTAATGCTGCTTTTCGGGTATCAAGGCGATATCTACATATATTAACCATGCAATAGGAATGACCCCAATGCGCTGCTGAATACATTGGTTCAGCGTTGATACATCTGCTTCTGAACTTCATTTCACGCTATAGTGCGCCGACACTGAATGGGCCCTCTTCGTTCTTGCTTCCAGGTGCTCCTACGGTTACCAGGGCAAGTACTGTGACCAGTGTATCCGGTACCCTGGATGTCTGCACGGGACCTGTCACCAGCCGTGGCAGTGTAACTGCGATGAAGGTTGGGGCGGGCTGTTCTGCAACCAGGACCTCAACTACTGCACCAACCACAAGCCATGCAAGAATGGCGCCACCTGCACAAACACCGGCCAGGGCTCGTACACCTGCACGTGCACCCCCGGATTCACGGGAACCAACTGCGAGGTGGTCGAACATAATTGCGCCACGATGCCTTGCCTAAACGGTGGAACATGCAATGTAAATATAATTTAAAACATTTTACTGTCACATTAGTAGTTAAGGATAATGTTGGAGACAGCGTTGACGTTTTATACGTATCAACCGATTTGGCACATGCGTTTGAATTGGGCGTGATCCTAATTATTTGAACAGCTTCCTTTATTCAGTGCGTTCAAAAAATGGGTTGTTAGCATTATTGAAAAAAACATCTCGCATGTTGTTTTAGTATTTGTGTTCGTGCGTGGCGTGTCGAGTGCGCGATCCGCTGTGTTGTTCTTTTAAATTGCATGTTTATCGTACGTGTGAAATGTAAAACCAGTGGCTCGTGCAGAAACCGATTGCTTCCATTACTGTGACAATGGAGTCTGGGGCATAATTGTTCATTATTCATACATCGTTTCGCGGGATAATATAGCATGCGCTCACAATTAATGCGGTGCTTAAATCAATTTCTATCCATTACCGATTACTGGCGGTGTTTCGTATGCGTGGCAATTCTCCGTCGGTTATTCCCATGTTAACATTCGCTTATTTGTTTACTCATAGTAATCTGTACAAATGGGTTTATTGTCCTAACAAGATTATTCTGAGTGACGAGCAAGTGTATTACTTTAAAGTATTTGGCCGTAGCTAACGACGGAGTGCCTAGTACATATGAGATGAATGGACACTATAGAATTGTGATGCAATCGCAATATATGTACATTTGCACATAATATGCAAAAATATGTATATTGCGGAAATGGCTATGTTATAATTGTATTAATACGGAGCGTGTAATCATGAGCGAAACTCGTGAGGCATTGAGAACAGATGCGCTGTGTGTGGCGTCGGGAATCATGCGTACGGGTTAGCGTACGTTACGGTATATTTCACGTCATACGTCATTTCATGCCTAATGTTGCATTGCAGGACGTCGGTAACGACTACACGTGCATGTGTTTGCCGGGTTACCATGGCAGGAGGTGCGAGACAAACGCACAGACATGCGCAGACAGGCCCTGCCAGCATGGCTCCACCTGCGTGGACACACAGGATGGCTACACGTGTCTCTGCCAGCCAGGCTACGACGGCGCCAACTGTGACATATTAAAGAACGAATGCGAGAGCAGCCCGTGTCTCAACGGTAAGAAAACTCAAGCGCAACCACAGACGAACGCTTTACAGCCATTAGACGCTTGGAATTCTTACAGATGATTGTTACACCGTTGTCTAGTAATCGCTTTTATTCGATTATTCTATATACGTAAATAACCAATTCAATTCTCCTGCTGTGTGGTAACGTAAGATGAATGAAAAACACACGCCTGAATGAGGATTTAACGTGCGTTTCAGGCGGACAATGCGTCGACGACTTCAACAGCTTTCGCTGCGTGTGCCCATCCGGTTACGGCGGCATCACCTGCGAGGACGACGTTGACGATTGCACGTACAACCCGTGCCAGAACAACGGCGTCTGCATCGATAAGGTCAACTCGTTCGAGTGCCGCTGCATGGCGGGATTCGTCGGCTCGCTGTGTCAGACGAACGTCGACGACTGCTTGACGAAGCCGTGCGCGAACGGAGGCAGGTGCATCGATCGCACGAACGACTACACGTGCGAGTGTCAGCCAGGCTTCGCCGGCAAGGATTGCTCGATCAACATCAACGAGTGCATGTCGAACCCGTGCGCGCACGGCGCCTGCGAGGATCGCGTCAACGACTACATGTGCCACTGCGACCACGGCTACACCGGCCGCGCGTGTGACGTCGCCACCAGCGTGCGCGTCGGCGATGGCGACGACGTCCAGCCGACGTGGAACACCGTGAAGACGACGTCGGCCGAGGCGAGCGTGATGCCCGACATCGGTTCACTCAGTGGCGACGACCACAGCGCCGATGACGACGACAGCCTGAGCAGTATGCAGATCGCAGTCGTCGCAGCCGTGTCCGCCATATTGGTTGTCGTCGCTATGATCATCGCCATTGCTATCCTCCTCCTCCGCCGTCGGCGCCGCAGAAACAGCGACGAGGAGGAGGCGAAGCGACAGAACAGACAGAATCAGCAGAATAGCATGAACAATAGGAGCAAAGACTCCAATATTCTCAGCAGTATTCCTCCCGCGGGGAGCGGTGTGTGTAAAAAACTCACAAACGAAGACATTGACTCGTTCCGAAAGCCAACGAATATCGAGATAAATAGTAGTCATCAGCAGTTCATTACAGACTCTAGGATACATGAGCAGTTGAAAGCGTCGGAGAAGGCTCTCCCGAGTAGGAAGCTAGCGGAGACGGAGGCGTTATCAACGTTAGCAGTTCATGCGATTGATATTGGGTAACTATTGTTTTTCTGTAGTTCTCGTTAGGTTGTGCGTAGACACCACATGCCGTATGTGTGAAATCGTTACTACATACACAATGTTACTACAGTCTCCCTCGGTGTAAAATGAAGGTTAAACTAAAAGTCATTTAATTTGTTGCCGGGGTGGTAATAAATGTAGAACCAGGGAGGGGCCATGTTAGTTTGTGCTTGCTTGGCGTTGATTGCTCCCAGTATTTGCGATGTCATTTGCAAATCAAATAGCACGTATTCACGCGGTGCATTTATGCCGTGGGAGTGAATGCATCGTCTGTGTGTTTCGTTCCATCAGGCCGTGTCAATACAACTCAGCAGAAAGCGCGCTCTCAACGTCTAAGGCGGCCGCGAAATCGCCCATAATTAGCGGCGACTATCGCCAGCGTCAACGTCTGCCATCTACCGTGGCGCGTTCAATTGTTTTCTCTGTAGTTTTATCGCGAATGTCGCCAGAGAATGATGAGTCGACGATGTCGTTTCTGTTGGATTATATGTTGCCCACGTAACCATTGTTATGTGTTTATATGTTATGTGTTTTATATGTTAAAAGACCATGACTGCGATCCTAATTGATTGATTGACATTTGTTATAAAGGATATCCCAGTACTCAATATCGAATTGTTTTTTTTATCTGTAGTGAGCGACCCATGGATGTGCGATCCATGGGACCGAACAGGCAAGTGTCGCAGAGTACGGAGACTCCTGCCATCTATGTCATAGACAACAACAAGCACTACCAGCCTAGCGGTACAGCTGTGAAAGAGGCCATGCTTGCGACAGAGGTGTAGCAAAGGGATGCACCGAGTCACACAGTCTTAATTTATCTGTAAATTATGAATCGCCAAGAGTCTAAATTAAGTGCCTTTTTGCTGTTTTTTTGTAAATTATTTTAAAATTATTGTTGTAGAGAGATTTTCTACAATTTGATAAAGTTTATCAGAGTAGAAGATGACACGTTGGGAGAACCCTTGAAAGATAAATGAGATAGTTTTGACCACACCGATAATTGTTGCCACTGTCGTATATTTGCATTTAATCATGACCGGCCAAGGCCTACATGCTATATGACAGTATGATCAAATGGCAACATTCATGATAACTTCTAAGTCACTTATAAGGGGGTTCATCTGCTCCGCATTTTACGGTATGATTAATGACTATACTTGCAATATTACAAGCAAAAACGAGTGGTAGAATAACTCCCCGGGTGATACGAGCTTACAGCTCTCCTCGAGGCTTTATTCGCATAACTCCCTTAAATGTACAGAAAACGGTGAAATTGAAATCTGATTTTTGGCGGTTCAGCAGCAAAGGCCTTATATGTATACTATACATATGTATCCGTTTATGTTTATCGATTGTGTTCTACTTCGCGCGCAATTAGTAATATAGTAGGCTTCGTTCAGAGGAGTCCTTAATCAGCCGCGCTGTTATACACGTTTTTGTACTTTCAAGTATGCCAAAACGTCTTGTCGTTCAACGTCCACGGGGGTTTTAGCTTTATGATAAGAATCACGAGTTCACAGGTTCAATGAAAAATGATAATGACGTCGGCGACGATGATAATGATGATAGCGTTTTACTGTTAATATATATTGAATAGAGTATATAGACGCAGAGAGTGCGCGCGTGATGCCGCCAGCTTAGCTTTGTTTCTACGCGCTCCGTAGTTGTGTCAAGCACAGAGCATATGCGTGTAGATGACCAACTCGATATGTAACTAACTATGAGCATAGATCCAAGATACGGTACGATACACGCATTCTGAGTGCCTATGTACATTTGCTGATGGCAAATTTGTAAAAATGCGAACTGTAGAAAGGGTATTGTCATTATAATGAAAAGCTATATGATTGTTACGTCTAGAACACAACTAAAATTATGACGCGCGTTTGATATAAACAGCCACAGCACGTAAAAATATGTTTTTATATACATGTTATAAAACAATGTCGTAAATGATTGACAATTTTTCCATTCGATAATTGATAGCTACTTTGACGATTGAGAATAGTTTGAGGGCTCATTTCGTTTTACACAGTTGCTTGAAATTGCTATTAATAGACCATGCTTCTTCGCACAACCAAATTTTCGATGATTTTATATATAAATATAATTATATATATATTTATATATATATATATATACGACATATATAGCTACGATAACAATATCACAAAGATAAACATCCTTCTCGGGAGGTCTGGTGAGCTTGTTATGGACGCAATGAAATCGATTAGATAACGTCACTTACTTAACTGTCAGATGGTTTTGAAAGATTTCCAATATATATTCAAGCAAACGATTTGCGCGCGCATGCAGTTATGTAAAAGTGTGTACATATTGTGTATAGTAAGAGTACTGTAAATAACTATATTATTGTCACGATATCCATATTGATGTTTACATTGTCATTATTAATAATGTAATAAAATCACGATCTGGCTATTTTTCCAAATATATATGTATCGCTTTACCGTCATATCTTCTGTCCGTGGTTCTTTGATAAACGAATGCACGCTTCAACAGGCAAGCAAGTTACTTAAGATTTACACCCGACTAACAAATGTTTATCCAGAACGCAACCGCCTAACAGAGCCACCTGCGCATGTGCCCATCATCGTAGTTACCTAACTGCCACTACTTTTATTAAAAAATGTCTACGTTTGTTAAAATAAAAATAGATGAGTCTCCATAAAAAAAATTCTTAAATCGATCGTAATGTCCTCAAATTAAAGTACCTTCGAATATTAACCTAACTACGCCTTCATTTTGTTAACACGTTACATTCATTACACGAATTTGTTGAACCGCCTTGACACTTTCCTGCATGGGCAGACGATCAACAGAAAACGTTAAACTGAGTGATGCGCAGTGACTTTCATAACGTGCTTTGCATACTCTCCGTGAGAGAATAATAGCCTAAACACGTGAACTTCTCATCTGGTCAAAGATCACGATGATGCTCTTGACACGTCATTCACAGCATCTAAATAGTTCGCGTCGTTATTTTATGATTGGGCACATTTTTGAAATTGCGTAGGGAATTGGTCTAAATTACGAACCCGTCTTTTAAACTTTAGCTAAACTAGAGAGTTTAACTAATTGGAGAGAAAGTAGTGACGATTGATCACATCTGACGCATACTCCTGATCCAGAAACACGAGTCGACATGCGGTACGTGGGAAACTCCGTCATGTGACGTCATGTTACGTCATGTTACGACTGAACATCATTTGCTGATAGTTCATCGCTGCCCCGCACGACGACTACTTAGATGTTTGTCGACGAAACTTCTTCTTTTGTGGTATATCGAATAATTAAACGACTCCCAAACAATTTACAATTTAAATCTAAAGTTTATCAATAAAACGCCATGCGACGATAATAGAAAAAATTTAATAAATTTCGCATTTTTCATAATATTAATCAAAAATTCTGCTACACTCTCACTACCTTGGTAATGACTACAGTCGTTAACGCTAGACGAGACTTAACCAGTTTGACTTACTAGACGTTACAGACAGTAAATACGGCCGTCAATCAAACTGCCGGCTGTATAGTCTATTTCTCAACTTCAAGTCTTGTCATCGGACGACTACATTCACGGACGCGCGGGACAGCGCGAGACCAGCGAGGCGAAATGTGTCAGGCGGACAGAGCGTAGGCAGTACCTTAAGCCGGATATTCGACGTTTCATTATGTCTACAGGCCGCTGTAAATTACTGCGCTCGATTGCACCCACCTGTATAATTGCAGCTCGCGCGCCTATCATACCTGTGGTGGACCGAGCACGCTGCCAAACCTACCCAGAATGCACTGCGCACGCCGACACGCACTGCAGCGACGCGCGGGGTGATAAAGGGTCGTATACGTAAAACAGGGTCTCCCTCACCACCCCTCAGCACACACCATCTCCGCGCATAAAAGCGCATTTCTCTGGCGAAAGAGTCTACGTGAAGAAAATTCGCAGGATTTCTGATGACGCCCTCTTCCCCGTACCCTCTTTGTCCGAATGGATCCGTCCTCGTTTCAAATATTGTTGCGGTCCTCATAATGCCATCGCATATATTGAGCCAGGAAAAACCAGCCGAGGGACATACAAACGAAAACCTTGAATAGGCCGGTGAGTGAATTGACAGAAGCATTTACACTAAAGTAATTTGGCAGGTATAGCGAGCAAAAAGCTGTAGTCGTAGATACACAGGCATATTTCAGAGCCTTTGCATGATGTGTAATGTATAACGTAGAGAAATGAACAAGCAGAAAGAGGGTGTATGTAGGTAGATATAAATATACGCAGTGGTTGCTGATTCTCCAGGTATGTGGCGTACATGCAGTGCAGTATAGCAAGCCTAGATGAGCTCACAAAATCCGCGTTATATTTTCCAATCAAGAAATGCGAGCATGTGTAATACAGGCAGAGGCAGCATGTTCAGTTGTAGATGTAAATACTTCTGTTTCGATAAAGATATTACGAGCATTCAGCCAAGATTTATTGCATCAAAATATAAATAAGTAGGAGTGAAATGATTTCAGGATTGACGATTAAAACCAAAGGAACACCAAAACAAAACAAGTTTATGCGATGAAGTAGCACTTCACGTAAGCCATATAGGTTAAAACAACACGCACCGAGACACAATTACGTGCTAAACCACGTGTGTACGCTGGCAGTGAGTAGGATTACAGCGGAAGCGATGACCCCGGGCAGGCAGGCATGCAGGCAGGCATGCATGCATGCAGGCAGGCAGGCAGGCAGGCAGGCAGGCGGGCAGGCAGGCAGGCAGGCAGGCAGGCAGGCAGGCAGGCAGGCAGGCGGGCAGGCATGCAGGCATGCAGGCATGCAGGCAGTCAGGAAGTCAGGCAGGCAGTCAGGCGGTCAGGCAGGCAGGCAGGCAAACAGACAGGCGGGCAGGCATGCATGCAGGCAGGCAGGCAGGCAGTCAGGCGGGCAGGCAGGCAGGCAGGCAGGCAGGCAGGCAGGCAGGCAAGCAGGCAGGCAGGCAGTCAGGCGGGCAGGCATGCAGGCAGTCAGTCAGGCAGGCAGGCAGGCAGGCAGGCAGGCAGGCAAGCAGGCAGGCAGGCAGTCAGGCGGGCAGGCAGGCAGTCAGGCAGTCAGGCAGCGCAGGCAAGCAGGCAGGCAGGCAGGCAGGCAGGCAGGCAGTCAGACAGGCAGTCAGGCAGGCAGTCGGGCGGGCAGTCGGGCAGGCAGGCAGGCAGGCAGGCAGGCAGGCAGGTAGGCAGGCAGTCAGACAGGCAGTCAGGCAGGCAGTCGGCGGCGCGGCGGCGTGCGGTCGGCGGGCGGTCGGGCGGGTGACTGGATCTCGGATAATGCTACACTCATCGCGTTGCGGCGAGCGCACATCCGCTTGGTTGCAGAACAAGTTTTAATTAAGCACCTCGTAGCGAATTGTTCGGTAATTATTGTCGTAAAAAAACTTCTTCGTGTAATTAGGACGGTCGATCACAAACATGAATTGTTCGGCAGTGATGTTCGATGCTCCGGAGCACGAAGCGTATTCGCTTCTTATATTATTAGATAACGATCGAGCCGGAAACAGGGGGTGGAATTAACAGGGTAAAGTTACTATGCTCGCACTGCTTACAGATATTTCCAGCGAGAACGAATCGATGTGTATAAGCAATGTTTGATAGATCAAATTCCGGCGAACGACTCGCGTAACCCCCGATTGACTGTCAAGAGAGTCTAAGTTAACCTAAATACGAGCAAATTCACACGTTAATAATATCAGGAGTTAATGATACAAATTTGTCTCATTAACTCCTGATAATATAGACACACATTATAATAACGATTGATAAAACTATGACGTAGCACTTTGAATTCCTTCCACTTGCTTAATGTTTTTTAATTAGTCGTTTTTTATTTTCTCTAATGTTCATGGGATCAGTAAGTTTTTTGTATTTGCCCGAAATGTTCTCGGTAATCGACGATGCGGTACATGTTAAATTATACGCATGGCTGATGAAAGGGGCATATGTTTTATTCATTAGATATCTACGTGTAAGTGTGTGTCCGCGTACGTATGTGCGTGCGTGTGTATGCGCACACGTCTCTGTGTGTGTGTTGTGTGTTGTGTGTGTGTGTGTGTGTGTGTGTTGTGTGTGAGTGTGTGTGTGTTGTCTTGAGTGGTGGCTGCGGCTGTTGTGCTGTGCTGCATGTGTGTGTCGTGTGTGTGTGTGTGTGTGTGAGAGTGTGTGTGCGTGTGTGTGTGAGTGTGTGTGCGTGTGTGTGTGTGTGCGCGCGCACGTGTGTGGGTCGTATGCGTGAGTTCGCGTGCGTGTATGCGCCGCGTGCGAGTGGACACGCATGTGGTAAATGGAGAAAGTACTTGACATGTTTAATATTGTTTTTATTTGTTTTTGATACGACATAACAAGAGCTTCTTTAATTTAAAGCAAAGATTTCTTAAATAACTGCACAGTCGAGAAAAATATAGCTAAATATGGTCTCACCTAATAGCGAACATGTTACTGATTACTCCATTACCACGAGTTTGTGCTGTCATGGTATAAATAATAGCAAATATTGCGGCCACATTCTTTCGTATAGTGACAATTCCATGAAAATTGGCAACCACAAGACAAAAGTGAATCTCATGAGTGATACAACATCATACACTAATGGTACTAGATATACTGCAACATTGCATATTGATTAATGTGCTGCAACATTGAATTGTGTTTACAACATTTTCATAAAGATATACTTCGCCGCACACTGTCGGTCCGGGTACGCACGCACTTTACGTGGCCCGAAAGATTAGTAAGTGTTCTTTTATATGAAATACTCATCGTTTAGGTACGGCAGCTAGGTCAAACAATAGTTAACAGCAAAGTCATATCTAAATTGTTCAGTTCATTTTAATGTTTGTATTCATTGTTAGTTCACCGAATGCAATCAACATATTCGCGTAGAAAAAATAAAGCCACTATTAGTCAACACTAGGGCCCGGAAGCCTGTTTGAAACCATTACTTTAAATCCACAGAACTCCAAATACAAATTTACATACTAGCACAGTATTAATTCATTAGCGCAATTAGGGTTAATTATTAATGAATATTAACAAATCTCACTGCTATGTACTACTTTTACGATCTTGTAGGCTCAGAAGAACCATTACCAATGCACAATTCTTTAAGATATGTTAACATGCTCTTAACAATGTCTAAGATTTCTAATAATGTTTAGAATCATACTTCAGTAACTATGAACTAGTATTATATTTTACTCTATATCTTTATTGTATGCAACGTCTTACATTTCTACAGCGAAATGACAGTTCACAGTTAGAAAGGATGACAGTCAGAGCAGTTGAGACGAAAATTAAACGGTAGCAACAGAAAAACAGGTTTAGAAATTTGTTAATTGGATATTGAAATGTGCTAATTAGTATGGGCGTAGTGCGGAACCTGTTATGATATCTGCATATATGCAT